CTCAAACTCCTGACCTCAGGTGATGTGCTCGCCTCGGCCTCCCAAAGTGCTGGGATTACAGGCATGGGCCACCGCGCCTGGCTGGGTTCTGGGTTTTTTTTGGTGGAAGTCCCACTTTTGATCCAACCTCATTCTCTCATGCTGCAGATCTTCCCTTTTGCTGTACATCCATCCTAAGCTTCTCCAGCGGAGACTTGGGATGTCCCAGCAGAAGAGGTGCCCAGGAGGACGCTGAGTAGGGGCCAGGCCCCTCCACTGTCCCCCATCCGGGGGCCTCCGCTTGGGGCCGGGTGAGTCAGCCCCCGGCGGCTCCCGCGTCATCCCGGCCGCTCCGCTCCGCGCTATTTCGGGCTCCGGGCGCTATAAATAGAGGCTCGCGGAGCCGAGCCGCCCCCCTCCATTCGGGCCCCCCTGCGTCCCCGGCCCCGCCGCGATCGCCGGGCCGCGCGTCACCGCGGCTAAGTTTAGAGGCGGGCGGGGACGCCAGCCTGGTCACTGCGCCCCCCGGCGGTGCCCGCTTCCAGAGCCTTCGGCCGGGCCGCTCTCCGCTCGGGGTTCAGGTCCCCTCGGGCGGATTTGGCGGTGAGGTTCCGGTCCTCACAGTCTCCGTCCCCACCCTACCCGTTCCAGGGCGCACAAAGGGCTGGAAGTTGAGAGGAGGGGAAGGTTGGGGACGGGAGCAGGGGCCGGAGCCTGGGAGTGGCCCAGGAAACTGGAGTTACCGCTGAATTTTGGAACTTGGGGCGTTTGGAAGAAAGAGGCGGAATCGGAGCGTGGATACGGCGTGGGGATTCGAACGCGCAACTCTGGGAGCTGGAGAGATTCGAATCCGGGATTCCAAGGTTTAGTTTTGAAACAGCCTAGGCCGGACGTGGTGGCTCACGCCAGTAATCCCGACACTTTAGGAGGCCAAGAAGGGAGGATCGCTGTTGCCCAGGATTTCGAGACCAGGCTGGGCAACATAGTGAGACCCCCCTCCCCCCCACCCCCGGCCTCTACAAAAAAAAAAAAAAAAAAAATACAAAAGTTGGCCAGGCGTGGTGGCGCGCGCCTGTGGTTCCAGCTGGGAGGCTGATGTGGGAGGATCACCCGAGCCCGGGAGGTTGAGGTTGCAGTGAGCTGTGATTGCACCGCCGCCCTCCAGCCTGCGTGAGAGAAAGACCCTGCCAAAAAAAAAAAAAAAAAAAAAGTAAAGTAAAGAAAAATAGACAATCTGAGGGTAGAAATCCAACATCCAACTTGGAAATAACCTAGAACGGAGGGCAACTTCCCACCCCCACCCCCGCTCTTAACTAATGTTGACAGGTTCAGAATTCCACTGATCGCAGGTGGTGGGCCCTTTGCAGCACTTATGCGGCAAGAAAATGGGTGGGAGCGGAGAAGGGGCTGTGTTTTAGGGGGTCTTGCCGCCTCTGGATTCTGGCTCAGTGGCCCCAGCTCCCCAACACTTCCAATCCTCTTGTGGTGCACTATCGCCCCCTGGCGGAAAACGAAAGAGTTGCAGGGTTAAGTCTGGTAATTCCATTCCCCAAAGGGAGAACTAGTCACAAGCCCTTCTACTTGGGATGACCTACTTCTAGAAACGCTGTGTGGCCTTGGATACAGAGACCTTTTCCTTCTTTCCTTCTTTCCTTCCTTTCTTCCTTCCTTCCTTCCTTCCTTCCTTCCTCCTTCCTCCTTCCCTTCTTTCCTTTTTTCTTTTCTTTTCTTTTTCTTTCTTTCTTTTCTTTTCTTTCTTTCAAGACAGAGTCTCACTCTGTTGCCCAGGCTGGAGTGCAGTGGTGTGATCTTGGCTCACTGCAACCTCCACCTCCTGGGTTCAAGCAATTCTCTGCTGAAGCCTCCCTAGTTGCTGGGATTACAGGGGCCTGCCACCATGCCCGGCTAATTTTTCTGTATTTTTTAGTAAAGATGGGGTTTCACCACCTTAGCCAGGCTGGTCTTGAACTCCTGACCTCATGAGTGCTGGGATAACAGGTGTGAGCCTCTGTGCGTGGCCTACAGAGGCGTATTTCCATGATCCTTCCCACCCAGGGCTTCAGTTCCCTCATGGGTCAAATGGAGTAATGATGCCTAGAGGGAGGGCTGCCGCGAGGCCTTACTCCATAGTAAGTGTGTGATCTGTATTTAGCTGATCATAACTATTATGTATACAGCCCCTCTTTCTGCAGCTGTATGGCTCCCCTCCCCCATCACCTGCTTCACAGAACTGTTTTATCCTCATACTATGTAGCAATCTGCAATTCTTTTTTCCAGACAGAGCCTCTTTTGCCCAGGCTGGAGTACAGTAGCATGATCATACCTCGCTGCAACCTCAAACTTCTGGGCTCAAGTGATTCTCCTGTCTCAGCCTCCCAAGTATCTGGGACTACAGGTGCATGCCACCACGCCTGGCAATTTTTTTTATTTTTATTTTTATTTTTGAGACCGAGTCTGGCTCTGTCACCCAGGCTGGAGTGCAGTGGCTTCCTCTCTGCTCACTGCAACCTCTGCCTCGTGATTCAAGCGATTCTCCTGCCTCAGCTTCCCAAAGTGCTGTAATTACAGGCATGAGCCACCGTGCCCAGCCAATTTTTGTATGCTTTTTTTGTAGAGATGGGTTTTACCATGTTGTCCAGGCTAGTCTCAAACTCCTGAGCTCAAGTGATCTGCCCACCTTGGTCTCCTAAAGTGCTGGGATTAAAGGCGTGAGCCACTGTGCCCAGCCTAGGATTCTGGATTTCAATTGTTAGGGTGAAAAGAAAAAGGCATTTGCAGATGAGCAAGGCTCAGGGTAATAGATCTGGACAATAGATGCAGACCCTGTCTCAAAAAAAAAAATTTTTTTTTTTTTTTTTTTTTTTTTTTTTAGAGATTTTTAAAGTGAT